AGTTGGAGTCTCACTCTGTCGCCCAGACTAGCCACTCCTGGCCACCGCAGTCTCCACCTGCTGGGCTCCGGCGATCCTTCCGCCTCAGCCTTCCCGGTAGCTGGAACCTCAGGCGTGCATTACCACGCCCAGCTGATTTTCAATTTATTGTGGAGATGAGGTCTCGCCAGCTTGCCTGGGTGGGTCTTGGACCTGCGGGCTCAGGCAATCTATTCACCTTAGCCTCCCAAAGGCGTGGGATTACAGGCTGAGCCACCGAGCCTGGCTAAACTATATATTTTTAATCAATGGTCAGGTCATATGGCATAGGGTGGAATATTTGAAATTTCATGGTCATAAATAAGACCGTATTAAGCTTTAAGCATAGTAAATATGATGATCTCAAATAATTAAGGGTAATGAGAAGTACACAGACCCTTTTGGGCTAGTAAAACTCATACTTTGAAAAGTGATATTTTGTACTGGTAATAAGTACTTTTTTCCTATTTTTAAAGTTTGGATATATTTGTATATGAAGCTTTCTTCATATGTGATAAATTATCTTTAATGCTTAATAAACTTCATTGCCCTCTTTAATTCCTTTTAGGATGGGGAACAGCACGTCATCTTTGGGGAAGCCACCAACTACTCCTGCGAATCAGATCCAAGTAAGTGATGTGGGAGATGGAGGAGACTTTCCCCTGTGAAAAAATAATTGTGTCTTTCATATTTAATATGCTTATTTAATAGCCAAATGACATAGGTCAGTAAATGAATTACTAAATATTTATTTTAAAATCTGATACAAAATAATTGATGTGGGGCAACCTCCTTGGTTCCCCTCCCACGGTGGGAGCTTTTCTGTCCTCTCAACAAATCCTGCTTTCAAAAAAAAATTGATGTGACTGAAAAGTTTTACATCATTTTAGTATTCAAAATTTATGAGATAGGCCAGGCATGGTGGCTCACACCTGTAATCCTAGCACTTTGGGAGGAGGAAGCAGAGAGGATTACTTGAGCCCAAGAGTTCAAGACCAGCCTGAGACACATAGCGAGACTTCATCTCTATAGTAATTTTTAAAAATTGCCGGGCATGGTGGTGCATGCCTGTAGTCCTAGTTACCCAGGAAGCTGAGGCAGAAGGATCACCTGAGCCCATGAGGCTGAGGCTGCCACGAGCTGTGATTGTGCCACTGCACACTAGCTGGGTGTCAGAGACCCCACCTGAAAAAGAAAAAAGTCATGAGACATGTTCTGAATAAAGTCTTCACTCACTCTAAGTTGGATCTCTGAGGTCCGTTCTTCCTTTTCATCATTTCCACCTCAGGTCCACTGTTGATACCAGTCAAGCTGCCTTTAGCTAGGGATTCTATTTGATTTTGGCCTGGGTAACTGCTTAACAGCTTTCTTCCTTAATGCAGAACCTAGTACGCAGTGGTTACTCCTTGTACGATCCTCTTAGGAATGCTATACACTTCTGTACTCTCTTGTTTTTCTCTGTCTTTCCCTGAAAAACTTAGCTAATTCTGCCTCAGAAAATTTCTCTTATATGTATGTTTTTCTTCCCAGGAAGCCTATGACTTTTTTTTTTTTTTCCTTTTGCTTACTGCCCACTACCACCACATACAAAAGCTTTTAATTGATTTGGCTAGACTCATAGCTGTTCAATGTAACAGTAATACTAGAAATCTTTTGTGAGGGAATTACCTCTTTTAAAATAAATATATACCATTATGAAATATGTAGCAAGGGTGAGCTTGAGAAAAGATGGGAAGAAGGTTCAGGAAGCCCTGACACTGCTGTCTAGAGTGTCAGTTCACGTTGGTATCTCTGTTTTTTTTTTTTTTGAGTTGGAGTCTCACTCTGTCGCCCAGACTGGAGTGCAGTGGCCGCTCCCGGCCACCGCAGCCTCGACCCGCTGGGGTCCGGCGATCCTTCCGCCTCAGCCTTTCAAGTAGCTGGAACTACAGGCGCACGCTACCACGCCCAGCTGATTTTTTTATTTATTGTAGAGAGGAGGTCTCGACAAGTTGCCCGGGCAGGTCTTGAACCCGCGGGCTCAGGCAATCCACTCACCTCGGCCTCCCAAGGCGTGAGATTACAGGCTGAGCCACCGAGCCCGGCCGTTGGTATCTCTTCATCAGCGTTTCTACTCCGTGTCAGCACCCTGAATGCTCATCTCTCTCTAAGCAACGGTCTCAGTTTGCCTGTACGCTGAGGCAGCATGGTGGAGGAAAGAGCACTGACTTTAGGGTTGTGATGAAGTTGGGTTAAATCTCAGTATTGTGAACCTCTCAGTCTCATTTCTGTCATCTGTCAAATGGATTCATCAATACATCTCTGGTATAGCTGACCCTCCTTGAGATAGACTTTTATACTAAATGTGATAAGCACATAGAAGGGAAAGCATAACCATATACCAACTTGCAGACAGCTAGGCTAAAACCCAGGAAGGGTATAACTTCAGAAGCTCTTTGCCTGGGAATTGTACTTTGTTTTCTTGGCCTTCATCTTGAAGGTACTGCTTATTACCCACCACATAAGAACAAGCTAGACAAATGCCTGGGTGCTAAACCTGCCCATTCAAGATCTTTGAGGACCCAGACATTAATATATTTAGAAACCAAACCAAAACAAAAACAACTTGACAGGTTACAAGGATGCATAGCAGAGTCTCATGGTCATCGTAGTAAAGGCCTAGAGAGTAGTTTCCAAATCAGGCTGATATCATTAAGAGTCATCTGGGATCATATGGATGAAAAAGAGGCTTGCAAAAATAATGATAAAAAATTATAACGAAAAAAAGTACTAACAACAGAGACTATACTTTAAGGCTGTGGTAAGAGTTGGTTTTTTGGTAAGTTTTGTTGTTGTTGTACCAGTGTCTTCTCTATGAATAATATTATATTTGCATATTCGAAAAAAAAGGAATTATCTGGGAAGGTTTTTTAAACACTTATTCAGACTCATTGAATCAGCATTTCTGGAAGTAGATTTCCTGTACAACCAATACAAGAATGCCTGATCGATACAGGAATGACAGCTTTTACGCTGTAAAGGGCATATAGGATGGGGATGTGAAGGGATGGGAGTGGAGAGGCAAGCTGTTGTTTATGCCTGGTTCAAGGGCTGCCTTTCATTTCAAAGAGAACCCACACATCATTCCTCACCGTTGAAAGTTAAAGAAGGTAAGGAGTTAACTCCTGAACACCTGCTGAAATTTGAGAAGCCGCATAACAGAGATTAAGTGCATGGACTGTAGAGTTAGAGTTGCCTGGGTTCAAGTCCCAGCTCTCTCACTTATTTGCTGAAGACTATGAACAAGTTATTTGTCTTCCTCTGTACCTCACTTTCCTCATCTGCAAAATGGGGATAAATAAAATAGGACCTATCTCAGGCTTGTAGTGAGGTTTAAGTGACTTAGTAAACTGTTGAGAAAAGTTCCTGGCTCACAGAAAGGTTTGCTATGTATGAATTGGCTATAGTTAATATTATTATTATTGTTATTACTCCATACCAAGCACCTTCTATTTGCTAATCTTTTTTTTCCTAATAACATTTCTGTGAAATGAATATCCTCAATCTACAGATGAGAAAATAGATGATAGAGACTTAGTTTGATTCCTGAATGTGTAACTCCAAAATCCATACCCCTTCCACTATATCATGATTATTTTTCCAAAAGGTAATGTCTAGAATTAAAATAATTTTTGGGGGGGGGGATTTGTTTCAGGAAACAATTTCTGATAATTGTGTGGTGATTTTCTCAAAAACATCCTGTTCTTACTGTACAATGGCAAAAAAGCTTTTCCATGACATGAATATTAATTATAAAGTGGTAGAATTGGACATGCTTGAATATGGAGGCCAGTTTCAAGATGCTCTTTACAAAATGACTGGTGAAAGAACTGTGAGTATATCTTCTATGGTTTTGTTCCTCTTTAATAGGATGTGTTCCTCTTTAATAGAATGTGTTAGAAAGCTTTATCAATATAAATTGATAAAGAAACTGTACATCTGGGAAACAGATTCTTAGAATAGGAGACATCAGAGTTAATTCATTTTATTTGTATTCTCAATGTGTATGTGTATGTGTGTTTTGACGGGTGGCTGGGGAAATGTCATGAGCACTTGTCTATGGATCTTTAAGGCCCTCTTGGAACTCTGGTATTGCAAGATAAAAGTATTCTTCCTCCCTTTACTTGGGCAATACAGAGCAGGGGTTGGTCTTCAATTACTGTGCTAATAGGAGTGCTTTAATGCTCTGTGTTTTCAGACTCTTGAAATTGGTAGGTTTTTCCACTGTATGCATAATGAGAAAGATATGCAGTGTTACCACTTTCCTTCTTGTTTTTATGTACATGGAACAAGTTTATAGTGTACTCTTCCCCTTTAGTAAGAAATGCAAGAAATAACTACTTAATATTAATAATTAGAGACTGCTTTAGATTGCCTTTGATATACCATAGTGATTAGGAAGAAGGATTTTAGAATCAGATTGTTATGGATTTGAATTCCAGCTTTATTATTTATTATCATGGTGACCTTGGGCAAGTTATTATGCTTCATTTTCCTCCAAAATAGGGCTAAAAATAATACCTAAAGATTTTTTTTTTTTTTGAGTTGGAGTCTCACTCTGTCACCCAGACTGGAGTGCAGTGGCCGCTCCCGGCCACCGCAGCCTCGACCTGCTGGGCTCCGGCTATCCTTCTGCTTCAGCCTTCCAAGTACCGAAACTACAGGCGTGCGCTACCACGCCCGGCTGATTTTTTGATTTATTGTAGAGATGAGGTCTCATCAAGTTGCCCAGGCGGGTCTCGAACCCGCGGGCTCAGGCAATCCACTCACCTCAGCCTCCCAAAGGCGCGGGATTACAGGCTGAGCCACCAAGTCCAGCTATACCTAAAGATTTAAAGAGATAATTTGTGAAAGAGTTTAGTGTGTTGCCTGCCTCATAAAAGTACCCAGAGTATGAATGTCTATTACTATGTGAAATGATCTTATAGTTCTGACACTAGGGGGAAGCCATTATCTATCTTTTGTTTACCCAACAGGTTCCAAGAATATTTGTCAATGGAACTTTTATTGGTGGTGCAACTGACACTCATAGGCTTCATAAAGAAGGGAAATTGCTTCCACTAGTTCATCAGTGCTATTTGAAAAAAAGTAAGAAGAAAGAACTTCAGTGACGTACGTACTCATAACTTTGGCAGTAAAATGTCAGTTATTTAAAGTGATAATGCCTTTTAAATGTTTGAGGATGTTTTAAATATGTGAATTATCTTCATAAAGAAGATGTAAACACAATGAACAATAAATTGCAGTTGAAACCTCTTCTTCCTACTTGCTGGTTCTTGAGAAAAGGGAGTGTTATTTAAAACTGAAGGAGAGGGGTTGTATCAAAAGATAAGAAAAGAATGAATTTTATTAGGAATTTATACATGAATTTTACAATTGAAAGCTAGAAGGCGAGCACTTGGAATTCTTTATTTCCTATAGTATGCAGGAGTTAACTCCTTACCTTCCAGAGCTTTCAGTTGGTAAGGACTGATATGTATTTTCTCTTTAAGATTTAAGGCTCTGACACACTGATGAACTGGGTAAGGATATCTTGCACCTTGTGAAAAGCTTTCACACTTTGTACTCGTAGAGTAACAGAAATATATTAAATTTGTAGCATGGAATGAAATTTATATTAGAGAAACTAAATAACTCATCTAACCATATAGTAGTCCCAGAGACCAGAACTAAATATGGGCAAAAATTAAAAGAAGGAAGATTCCAACACTATATGAACTTTTGAAACAGTTCAGAAATGTACTTGAACATATTATGAAGTGGAAAGTTCTGCTGGATAGATATGTTCAATGGTTATTGGAAATGTAGCATAAAGAAACCAGATATTGGATGGGAAGTTAGATTGCATGTCCCTAAATTCATTTCTTTTTTTTTTTTTTGGGTTGGAGTCTCACTCTGTCGCCCAGACTGGAGTGCAGTGGCCGCTCCTGGCCACCGCAGCCTCCACCTGCTGGGCTCCAGTGATCCTTTCGCCTCAGCCTTCCAAGTAGCTGGAACTACAGGCACGCGCTACCACGCCCGGCTGATTTTTGATTTATTGTAGAGAGGAGGTCTCGCCAAGTTGCCCAGGCGGGTCTCAAACCCGCGGGCTCTGGCATTCCACTCACCTCAGCCTCCCAAGGCGCGGGATTACAGGCTGAGCCACCGAGCCTGGCTTCCTAAATTCATTTCTAATGTTGATTTTCATACTGTTCAAACTGATTTCATTTCAGATAAACTTAACAACCAAGATTTATCCTATAGGAAGTCTTATTTTAGAATAATTAAAAATACTTTCAATATCTTATTAATCAACTTATATTTCCAGTATCCCATTAATAAGAATTTCTTAAATGCCTGCAATATAAAGCATTTTCCTAGTTGATCCTGAGGTCACATGGGGTCAGATTACCAGATGCTGAGAAAACTCTTCCTTAGAGGTGGAAGGAAAATGGATTTCGAGAGGCATGCTTCTGTTTTCTAGTCAAGACAGACCAGCGAATTTGGAACAATTTTAAGGAAGACAGCTGGTGGCTTTCTTGACCACTTGCCATCTGTGATGCTTCCTACGTGGACTTAAACTGCCATTGGGAGACCTTGATGAAGCAGAATTTAGACTGCATTTCCATGTGATCATTTATTTTCAGGTTATAACACTAGAATGGAACAAAGAATGGTATGTCTTTATTTTGTATTATGTCATGAGAAATTTGACGTTGCTATGTTGTAAAATCTTTCATAGAGAGTTGAGATCTATAACCTATGAGAAAGGTAAAATTGTAATCGTGTGCCATTATTGTTAATCATACTAGGTATCAAGAGTAGAGGAAGTATACTTCAAGGTATAGAAACTCTGATAGTGCTTGATTGTGAAGACATCTTTTAACAACTCTTCCCTGACTGGTAGGACAGGGGCACCGAGGCTGAGTGGTGTTTGGTTTTTTTTAATGTTCAGATCCTGAAATTCAGCATTAAGGAGAGAAGGCTTATCAGCAAGGCCTCAAATCTGCTAGTGAAAGTAAATATGGCATTTGATTACTTGTGTCTTATTTAAGATAGAAGAAATATGCCCTTCCAATATCTGCCTCTTGTCTTCTGAGATTTTTACTCAGTAATAAAAAAGGTGTTACTTTTGGGGGTCTAGCACTGCATCAAAAAAGGAAGCAGATTTTTCCTAATTGTTAAATGCTAAGAGAGCAAAGAAAACATAAGAAATGTGACCTCTGGCTATAAGGCAGAAAAAAAACCCCAAACAATAAAGCTTGCCACTCTAAAACATTTAAAATGTTGGCTACATTATTACAAAAATCTGCATGGCTAGGCTGGTTAAACAACAGCACAAGGCTCTTCCAGGGGAAGGAAAACAAAACTAGGAAGAGTCCAAGAAGGTACGCAAGCACTGAAGCTAGCTGCTGCCTGCTGACATTCCAGTCCTAGAAGACCAAGAGCTTCCGTTTTAACGGTTGATGGAAGGGGCTAGTTACAAAGCTGGGAGTTCGGGTAGAGGAATTTAGATAGGGGCACACCACCACTAAATCTTTAGTGAGAATAAAACGTAACTAGTATTTTGAGTATAGCTTTTAGAGCAAGACAGACAAGTGTTCAAATCACTAAAGGTGTAGTCAGTACGTAGGCGACGTAACCTCTCGGAATTTCAAGTTCCTTATAAACTATGGTTAATACCATCTTCCTTTAGGATTTATTGTGAGGGACAGAGATAATCCATGTAAATCACCCATAATGTTTAGTAGACACTCAACAGGTAATGGCTCAGATTATGTGTGATTTTCTTTTTATATATATTTTATTTTAAAGATGTGGGATACAATTCAGGATTAGGTATACAAGTGGACATCAACCTTTACTTAAAGGTTAGGCTTCCCTTTGGCTTTACTAAGCCTGGTTTGAGATCAGGTATCCTTATTGATGTTATGTCCCTACCCCCACTCTGGGAATATCTTGCTGCCAACAATCCCTTTGTTATAGTATTAACTGGACCCATCAGGATTTCCAAGGTTCCCCACCTGCCTAGCCTAGATTTTAGCAGGAGAGTGGGAGCCTCTGAGCTCTCATGTCTTGGATGTTCATTTCCATTTCTTCTTACTTCCCATATCTTATAACTGGATAAAAGTATAATAGAAACTTAAAGCAAAGGTAGGTTTTTCCAGCAGCCTTTTTTCTTCCAGAATCATACAGCTAGAAAAAGAGAATGGTGACTAATTAAAAAAAGTTGCAGTTTTTTCCCGTCTTCTATTTTTTTTTTTTTTTTTTTG